GCAGCTCCACCAAAGGTCCCAGTGGCGCAGTTCGCATGCGTTTGCCCCACCCATTACAGGGTTTCGTGGCCCCAGAAGGGGGCTCCACCGAAGGTGCCAGTGGCGCATTTCGGATGCGTTTCCCCACCCAGTACAGCGTTTCGTGGCCCCAATGGCAGCTCCACCGAATGCCGCAATGGCCACGTCCGCATGCGTCTCCACCGCCCAGTACAGCCTTTCCTGGCCCCATAGGGTGCTCCACCGGAGGCCCTAGTGGCGCAGTTCGCATGCGTCTCTTCCACCCAATACAGCGTTTCGTGGCCCCATAGGGAGCTCCACTGAAGGCCCCAGTGGCGCAGTTCGCATGCGATTTTCCCACCCAGTACAGCGTTTCGTGGCCCAACAGGGAGCTCCACCGAAGGCCCCAGTGGCGCAGTTCGCATGCGTCCGCCCCATCCATTACAGCGTTTCGTGGTCCTAGAGGGAGCTCCACTGAAGGCGATACACACACTTGCGGTATTCACAACTGCACATGGTTGGGTCCTTCGCCAGGCTAATTTTTCGAGGGGGGCTGCGCGAGGGCCCGAAATTTGTTTTTCTTCTTGCTTCCCCCAGCGCCAAACGCGAACTTAGGAGGCCCTGTAATAGCAGTGCTTCCGCTTGCAGTGGTCCGGGGCAGGACTCTGTCTTTAACCAGCGCCCGGGGGACTGATGTTCGGGGACTTCGGCAAGCGGTGGATATGGATATATTGGGGCCAGGTACACGCACATCCACCGCCAGCCGGGGGTCCCAGGACGACGGTTTTGCGGGGGGCTGGCTAGGGATACGTCCCCGCCTCGCATGTGGCCAGCAGGAGTGCTGGAGCTGGGTCAGCCACGACGCCCGCTGACGCGCCGCCGCGGAGGGCCGCGGGGCTGGCGCCCGCCCGCGCCTCGCGCTCGCCACGTCGGCCCCGCTCCGAAGGGCAGGGCCTCCGCTCTCCCGGGGCGGGGCCGTCGGCCGCGGCGCGCTGCGGCCCCGTGCGCGGGATCTCGCACGCGAGCCTGCGTGGGCGGGCTGATCGCGCCGCATCGCGGATGCGCCGACGATGTGTTTTTTTCAAGCGAGGTGTTTTTCCCGTGGTTTTCGGAGGCTATCGCTGGTTCCTGGAGGCCGTCTCGCCTCCGGATGCTCTCCAGCAGTTGCGCCTCGCCGAGGGCGTTCGTGGGGTGCCAGAGTCGCCCCAAAAGTTTGCTGGAGGACTGAAGTATACCCTGAAAGTCAATTCAGACGATATGATTCACGACGATGTGGCGCGATCCAGCGCCCGATCTCCTCCATCCCGACGTCGGCGGTGCCTCGCCGATGTATCGTCGGCGCGGCACGATCCCTCGAACCCGCTTGCTCTTGCCCTGGCCCTATTTGAGCGACGACAAGAGACGGGAGCGACTGCGTGGACATTCGCGCGTCAGTGCCGGCGCAAGGTCGCGCGAACAGCGCTTTCTTCTCCACGCGGTGTGCCAGGTTGGCGGCCCGCACAAGCCACCTTGGAAGGCCGCCTCGGTGTGGTCAGGCCGCCGCGGCCGCCGCGGTGTCGTAAGCGACCGCGCAAGGCCGCCGCGCAAGGCCGCCGCGTGAGGCCGCCGCGGTGTCGTGCGCGGGATCCCCTCTCCTTGTCGCCCAGCTGCGGCGCGCGGGGATGCCGCGAGGGTGCCGCCGCGGCAGCTCGCCGCCCCGCGGCTGCGGGGAGATGGTGGGCGCCGGGCGCTGGGGGGAAAAAGGCCGTGCGGGGGGGGGCTGAGTCGGAGACGGCGAGGGGGGCAAATATCAAAGGAGGGACAACCACCACGACCCCCATAACTGGCGTCTGCAAAACGGCCCCAGACACTCTCTAAACAGCCCTGCCCTGTTCGATTACTTCCTTGGGTGCGTTTGCTAGCTGGCTTTGCTTGTCGGGGTGCTCGTTCTGAGGGAGGGGGAAACAACACTTGTACGTCCCCGCCGAGGAAAAGGCGGAAGATGGGAAGGAGGGGGGGGCGAGATTGGAGCTCCACTCCTCCTTCTCCTTCTCCTCCTCCTCCGCCTCCTCCTCCTCTTTCCCCTCCTCACCCCTCTCCTCTGCCTCCGCCTCCTCCTCCTCGTCCTCCTCCTCGTAGTCGTCGTCGTCGTCCTCCTCCTCCTCCTCCTCCTCGCGGAAGATGGGAAGGAGGGGGGGGGGCGAGATTGGAGCTCCACGAGGCAAGAGGTCTCTTGCCCACGGTTCGCCACCAGCTCCTGCGGTAGGAGCCAAGCCATGCCCCGCGCCCATGCTTTTGGTCACGCGGCCAGAGAGGGGGGGCCGAGGAGGAGGAGGAGGAGGCGGAGGAGGAGGAAGAGGAGGAGGAGGGGGAGGAGGAGGAGGAGGAGGTGGAGGAGGAGGAGGAAGAACGGGCGCTTCTGTTGCATCACTGTGGTGACTGGGGGCTCCATTGAGTAAGTAGGGCACACATGTAGCTTGGAAAAGTCGTGCTAGCACTCGGGCGCGAGCAGCCAGAGACTTCAGAACTTCCTTGGGTCCGTACTTGAAGCCAGCTCGCCTGCAATCATGAGTCTCACACGTATCGACATGGCACAACACCATGCTGTGTGAATCACTGGAGCTCCTGACTTCCGAACTCCAGCAACACGACTTGGCGGCGATCGAGGGCGAGATAGGAGGACGGCAGAGAACGGACGAGGGACGTCCACACCCTCTGACTGCTTCGATCTCTTCGCGCTCTAAACTTAGAACTTGAGCACCGCTCGGGCTGGGCGGCGGCTGCAAGCTGGCGGCCCAGCCTCTTCACGCGGCCGCGCGCGCGATTGGGTCGGTCGTAGACAGGTCCTGGAGTCACTGCCCGGCCCCGCCGTCCAGTCTCCAAGGCCTCACCCTCTGCATCTGGACCCCAGGGCGGTGCGCCGTACGGCTCTTCCCGTGCGGCCCGCACCGCCTTGGGTTGTTTTTGGCACTGGCTGCCCTGCTAGAGGGGGCCGATGGGACCCGCTGAAGGCTCTTTGCGGCGCGAGACCCTCCAATGTTTGGCAGTGTTTTTCCTCGAGGGGGCTCCTCGGGTAGGGGTGTTAGGGGCTGACGCCGTTGCCCCGCGGACCAATGAAGGCTCCACTGTGCTCACGGAGCCATGGACGTCTTCTCCGAAGTATCCGCACAATCCCCTTGCGGCTGCAAGCCTAGACCACAATTCAGAATTATGTCACGCGCGAGCCAGAGGACAACACTGCCTGCCTCAAGCTTGGATGGCGGACAGGGTTTAAGGAGAACTTCTGCGACAAAGAATTGATCCTCGCAGAACACATGTATAACCCTTGTATGTAATGATCGAGCGATAGCAGGTACAGGCATGAACTTGGCACCAGATCATTACCAAACGCTGGAATCGGCATGATCGACGTTCCACCTTCGATCCCCCTTTCCTGGTGCACGTTGTGGCTTTTCAATGAAAGTGGTTTTCCCGGGGCTCACACCAAGTTTTTTTGTTTTTATTAACAAAAAAGGGCAAGTCTTGGTCCTCAGATGGTGTTGTTGGCCTACAACAGGAGCAACAACAACCACAACAGCAACAAAGACAACATCAACATCATCAACAACACCAAGAGCGGTTCTTTTCTAATGCTTCCTCGCACTTTTTTCAATGTTGCGCTCTCGCGCGGGACGTTATCATAATTTATTCATGGATCGCGCTTTCGAGTGAGACGTGCTCACATTTTTTTGCGGCGCCGTGTCCTCTAGACTCAGGAATCACGTTCTCGCTTTGGATTTCTTTACGATCTACTTGGGAATCACGGTATCATTTGAAACTTCCTTGCGATTCATGTTGGATTGACGCTTCAGCGACCCGCCCGCTCGACCTGGCCGCCTGGGCCCGCTTTTCCAACCCGCCGGTTAGGGTTTATCCGCCCGTTCTGCAACGTTTTCTGCTCCTAGCCCCCTCCTGCTAAGTTAAGTTTTCTCGTGCTCTATCTTTCTCCCTCCCCCTTCCATCCGTCCTCTCTTCCCCTCTTTTAGGGGCTGCGCCAATTACACGTGGCCTGTAAGGAAGATATGCCCCCAAGGGGGCACGATCGAAGACAAAGAGGGCGGGTATCGATTGTTTGAGACATACGTGTTGAATGGCACGCGAGCAGGTAAGAGCGAGCAATCTTGAATTTATTGTTGTTGCTGTCGGTGCCGTCGGCGTCGGTGTCGGCGTCGACGGCGCCTGGGCGCTGGCGACGCCGCGGCAGCTGAGGCCACCCGGCTCCGTGGCCGAGGGCGGCGAGGGTTGCGCGGACTGCATCGCGCCCTCGCCGACGAGGTCGGATTTGCGCAGGCGCCCCTCTCGGCGCGGCCGCCGCGTATCGCCGCCGCCGCCGCCGCTGCCGCTCGCCGCTCGCCGCCGCTTGCCGCTCGCCGCTCGCCGCTCGCCGCTCGCAGCCGCCGCCGTCGTCGTTCGAGGAGCCAGGGTCGAGGTTTGAGTTTATGTCTCCCTTCCCGGGTCTCTGGGGGCGCCCTTGTCGTCGCGGCCGTTTCCGCCTCGGCGTTGCGGCGTTCTGGCCAGAACGCGCCCCAGGACATGCCTGGTTATCGCAGTCGCCGCCGCCGCCGCCGCCGCCGTCGTCGTCGGCGTCGTCGTTGTCGTCGTCGTCGTCGTCGTCGTCGTCGTCGTCGTCGTCGTCGTCGTCGTCGTCGTCGTCGTCGTCGTCGTCCGCTTCCTCCTGGTCCTTCTCGTGCTCCTGCAGATTCTGCCGCTCCTGCTCCTCCCGCTCCTCCTGCTCCCGCTGATCACGCGCCTCCTCCTCCTGCCGCTGCTGCTCTGGCCCCTCCTGCCCCTCCAGCTGCCGCCACCCCTGCTTCCTAGCCAGCTTGGCCCTGCCGCGCGGCCCGCGGCCGCCGCGGGGCCGCCGGGCCCCTGCGGCCAGCAGCGCTGCAGGGGGTCGGCGCTGGGTCGGGCCACCGAGCTGGGCCGCTGGGGTGCTGGGCGCTGGGGCGCTGGGGCGCTGGGGCGCTGGGGCGCTGGGTCGGGCGATGGCCGCCAAGTACCAGCCCCCGAGCTGGTGCAAGCCTCCCAGGAACCCCGACGATGCGCGGCAGGAGCTGCGCTTCCTCCCCGGGGAGGCCTCGGCCGCCGCCCCGCCGAGGGCGCTCGAGCTCTCCGACAGGGCGGTCTACACCATCGGCCGCAGCGAGGGCTCGGACGTGCAGCTGAAGGGCGAGCTGGCCTCTAGGATGCACGCGGCGGTGCTGCAGGACGCCGACGGCGGCAAGTTCCTGGTGGACCTCAAGAGTGCCAACGGCACCTTCCTGGCCTCGAGGCGCCTGGCCCCGCACGCGCCCGAACCCTGGCCCGCCGGCGCCGTGGCGTCCTTCGGCTACGGCCCGAAGGCCGAGCTGGTCGAGCTGAGCCCGCCGGTTGGCAGGGCCGTCCCGGCGGCCGGCGGCGGCGGCGCCTCGCCCTCGGCGAAGCGGAGGCGGGCGGGCGAGGAGGCCCCGGCGGCCGCGCCCGCGGCTGCGTTCTCGCTCTATGACGACCTGCCTGAGGCTCGGCGGCTGCAAAGGGGGTGGTTCGCCGGGGTGGTATGTGATCGGCAGCGTTGGGGCCTGGGGGCCGCGGCATTGTCCTCGTCGGGTCTCTTCGGGCGCGGCGGAGAACTCAGTCGAGCTCCTCGCCCGCGCTCCAGGGTGCCCCCTGGGGTGCCGGTTGCAGGCCACACCCTTTGCAAACCATACCCTTCGGAGTCGCCGAGAGGCGGAGGTCACCGTGGTGCCCGTGGCGAAGGTCCAGGCAAGAACAACGGCACATTCATGAGCTTTCGACGGTCCGCGCGGACCGTCGAAGGTTCGTATTTATGCCGTGTCGTGTTGCCCCTGGAAGGAGGAGGCGAGGATGGAGCCCGCGATGCCGGTCGAGAGGGACCCCACCAAGATCATCTTCCTTGACATCGACGGGTGCCTGCGGCCGCTGCACTCCAGGCAGGACGCCTTCAAGAACGCCAAGACGATGGAGATCAACGGGATCCGGGTGCCGCTGCTCGGGAGCGGCGAGGCGAAGGCGGGTATCGACTTCTGGCCCTCCGCCCTGCGCGCGCTGAAGCAGGTGTCGGCGGCGAAATCCGATACCTGCCCTCACCGATCAACGATTCAGGCCTCCCATCGATTCAGGAGAATCGATGGTTGTTGGGGGTAGGGCTCGGATGTCGCCACCTAAGGTGGTCCAGAAGACGGGGGCCCGGATCGTGCTGTCGTCGGACTGGCGCAAGGATCGGCTGGGGGTGGCGCAAGACACCAGCTTACCCGGCGTCCACTGACAAGCCCCCGCGGGTCCACTGACAAGCCTCCGGGAGTCTTCTGACAAGCCTCCGGGGGTCGCACTGACAAGCCCCCAGGGGTCCTACTGGCAAGCCCCCGGGGGGTCCACTGACAAGCCCCCGTGGGTCCACCGACAAGCCCCAGCGGCGTCCATTAGCAAGCGCCTGAGGGTCCCCTGACGAGCCCTGGGGGATCCTACTGACAAGCCCACGGGGGTCGCACTGACCAGCCCCCGGGGTCCACTTTCAAGCCCCAGCGGCAGCCGTAGTCGTAGTAGTAGCCGTAGTAGTAGTAGCCGTAGTAGTAGTAGTAGTAGTAGTAGTAGTAGTAGTCGTCGTCGTCGTCGTCGTCGTCGTCGTCGTCGTCGTCGTCGTCGTCGTCGTCGTCGTAGTAGTAGTAGTAGTAGTAGTAGTAGTAGTAACAACAGCAGTAGTAGTAGTAGTAGTAGTACTAGTAGTAGTAGTCGTAGTAGCAGTAATAGTTCCAGTAGTGGTAGTAGAAGTATTATTATTAGAAGTAGTAGTAGTAGTAGTAGTAGTAGTAGTAGTAGTAGTAGTAGTAGTAGTAGTAGTAGTAGTAGTAGTAGTGTAGTAGTGGTAGTAGTAGTAGTAGTACTAATAGTAGTCGTCGCAGTAGTAGTCGCAGCAGTCGTAGTAGTAGTCGTAGCAGTCGTACTCGTAGTAGTAGTAGTAGTAGTAGTAGTAGTAGTAGTAGTAGTAGTAGTAGTAGTAGTCGTAGAAGCAGTAGTAGTACTAGTGGTAGTAGTAGTCGAAGGAGTAGTAGTAGTACTTTGTAGTGGCCGTTGTCGTAGTCGTAGTAGCAGTAGTAATTGTTATCGTAGTTGTAGTAGTAGTAGCCGTAGTGGTAGTAGTAGTAGTAGTAGTAGTAGTAGTAGTAGTAGTAGTAGTAGTAGTAGTAGTAGTAGTAGTAGTAGTCGTTGTAGTAGTAGGAGTAGTAGTAGTAGTAGTAGTAGTAGTAGTAGTAGTAGTAGTAGTAGTAGTAGTAGT